GCGCAGCATGCGCGGGCGCCGCGGTCCGCTGCCTGCCCGGCAGCCGCACGCGCGCGCGCCAGGCCGGCGGCGCGGCCTTGACCCCCGTGGCGGCCTGCGCGACGCGCGCCGCCTGCTGCTTGGTCAGCACCTGGCGGATGGCCTCGAAGAAGCAGAAGAAGATGGCGGAGTTGAGGCCGTTGGACAGCGCGCGGGGGCCCATGCCGCGGAAGAAAGCGCGCGCGCCGCCGCCCTCGCGCAGGATGGCGCGCGACGCCGACACCACCGTCGGCCGCGCGCTGGCGGTGGTCATCATCACCGTCTTGACCACGTCCAGGGGGGTGGTGGCGGCCGCGGCGGCCGCGCCCGCAAACCCGCCGATGCACAGGTCCTCCAGCACCGAGGCGTGCCGGCCGCGCAGGCGCAGGTGCAGGTTGCGCACCGTCTCGTACACCGCAAACTTGACTGCCATGTCGGGGACGTCCTCCAGGATGGTCGGCAGGAAGCCCTGTTTGTGGAGGGTGGTGTTGGAGGGATGTTATTTTCACGCTGGGCTGGGTGAACAATGAGGGAATCAGGTTCAAACATCAGAGGGTAACAACCGGGGTGCAGGGAGAGGGGGGGGGAGGGGGTTGGAGGGAGGGAGGACATGACATGCTTGGCCATCTCAAACAACAACCCATACCCTCGCTGCAACCCCCTCCGACCTCCTCCACCCCCCCGCTCATTCAGTCCCAGCACATGAAACCCCACTCTGCCCTTCTCACCGTGAAGAGGCCGCGCACTCCCGCCGCCTTGACGATGTCCTGCGCCGCGGCGAGGGCGTTGGTGTACACCCCCGCCTGCACCGAGCGGATGCAGACCGCGAGCGGGACCTTGACCACGGATGAGCCGAGCGCGGCGGTGGCCCCCGACACAAAGGCGACGGAGCCGTCGGAGAGGGTGGAGTGCTCGCGCAGGAAGCGCTTGGTGGTGGAGTAGAAGGCAAAGTAGGTGCCGATGATGAGGCCCGCGCCGGTGGCCGCGCCCACCACGCCCTTGTACAGGCCCTTGAACTCGTTCAGGTTGCGGGCCAGGCCGCCGCCCCGGGCGGGGCGCGAGGAAGGCAGGCGCGGGCCGGAGCGGGGGCCGGCGCCGCGCGGGGCGCCCGCACGCGGGCCCGTCTGCATCCGCACCTTCATCGTGTCCAGCGGGTGGATGGTGGACTGCGAGGCGGCGCGCGCCATGGCCCCCGCCACCACGTCGTGCACTGGCTTCTGGTCGGGCTTGGGGGGCGGGGGGGCCAGCTTGGCCGAGGAGGAGGCCACCACGGTCGCCGTGGCCGCCGCTGCCGCCACGGCCGAGTTCTCCTGGACCTGTGAGCGTGCACAGGGGCGGCGGGTTGCAGTGCCCTGAGCACATACTGGCCTGCTTTTTGTATGCCAGATGGGATCAGGCTCTAGCACGGCAGACTGTGGGTAGCAGAAGGTGCCCAGGAGACTGCAGCCATGCCTCCCTACACAGCAGAGGTGGGCCAGTCAACAAGGACTTGGCCCCCATGCACTCACAACCCATGGCAACCTGCCCACCTGCATCGGGTGGTCGTCCACAGACAGGCTTGGGCTGCCGATCAACGCTCTACGAAGGACGAGGGTCAGCGCGGCGCCGGTGGCCGCGCTCACAACGCCCTGGGGAGGAGCGGATGAGGGTTCGAGCGCGTTGGATCACAGGCTCCGGGGCCAGGGGAGTGCGTTCGCCAGGGCCCTGCTGGCGCCTCGACAAGTGCACAAAATCTCCACAGCACGATGGCATGAGCAGGAAAGAGGAGCCCGTCGGCCCCGAAGGCGGGCCTGTTTTCAAACAAGGGCGCCCAAGGGCGCGGGCAGGCGCCGGGTCCCAAACCACCCCTCGCCCCTCCCTCACCTGCGACACGCTGCAGAATGGAAGGGTAGCTTGTCTGATCGCCGAACCCAGGCCGTGCGGGTAGCCAGATGAGGCGACGGACTCCCTTGGCTCGGCAGTCGGTGCTTGAACCGCCGTTGGCGCCGAGGAACTGCACCGTTGGGAAGCCAGAGCGGCACCCGTAAGCGGCATCCACACCACGCGCCCTTGATTTGCGCTTGGGGGGGCCCTCACAGATCGCCGCGGTCAGTGCTGCGTGCTCACGGCCACGACCTTCGTCAAGCCAGGCGCAGGCAGGGGTGTTGTATGGTCGCAGTGCTGCTCGACTGCGCTCTCAACCCGTTTGCAAGTCCGTGTGAGCGAGTGTTCGGGTTTGATGGGGAGCGGAAGGCAGTGAAGGGTCGACCGGGTCCCGCCAGCGGGCCAAGTGCGAAACGGGAGGTTGCTGCAGAGAGGTTCTGCCCGTCCGACCCCGGAAGGTGGCCCCCCCTCTCTTCCCCTTGCGGAGCACCTCCCCGGCACCCAGCGCGCCGCCGCTCGGGAAACGGATCGCAATGCTTACAAGAATTTTAATGGAACATCTGGTGCGGTCCTCTACCTTCCCAACCCTGCCAAGCACTGGGAGGCTGGGTCCCCCCGCCTGAGCATCGCACCATGCGTGCCCCTCAGGCGAGGCTCTTGGCGTACAGCTGGGAGTTCCTGCCCGGGTCCACCTGGGCCCGCCTGGCCTCCGGCAGCAGCGCGTTTCCCGCGGCGGGCCCCACGTGGCGGAAGCCGCGCTGCGCGAACCAGTCGGCTGTACGCGTGGTCAGCAGCACGAGCGTGTGCGCGCCCGCCGCGGCGGCGGCCGCCTCCACGCACTCCAGCAGCCCGTCGCCCTTGCCCAGGCGGCGGTAGGCGGGGTGCACGGCAAAGGCACCCAGCTCCGCCACGCCATCGCCCAGGGGGGGCGCTGCCACGCAGCCCAGCACGCGGCCCTCCCGCTCCCAGACCGTGAAGTGTGGCAGGTCGGCGGCGAGGCGCGCCGCGGAGCGGCGCACCAGGAACCCGCCCTCCTCCAGCGGGCGCAGCAGCTCGGCGATGGGGCCCAGGTCGCGCGGCTCCGCGGGGCGCATGCCCTCATACAGGTCGGTGGAGACCATGGAGCCGACGCCGTCGCGGGAGTAGAGCTCCAGCAGCAGGCCGCCATCCCCCGCCGCGTCCACCAGGTGCGCGCGCTTGACCCCTGCGCGGCACGCCGCGCAGGCCGCCAGCAGGGGCAGCGCCGCGCCCGCCGCCGCCCACTTCTCCAGGTCGAAGTCCAGGTCGCGCTGGGCGGGGGGGAGGGCAGGGGAGGCGGGGGCCGGTGCGGCGGTCGCCGCGGCGTCGGGGTGACCACCGACGCCGGCGGGCACCTCCCCCCCGCCGCCGCCGCCGCCGCCGCCCAGGGCGGCCAGCTCGGCGAGCAGGTCGGCGCGGCGCGCGGGGTCCGGCAGCGCCGCGCAGAGCAGCGCCTCCGCGTCGCGCAGGGGCAGCCAGCCGGAGAGCTCGCGAGAGCGGCGCAGCGCCACGCTGGTGGTCAGCAGCAGCAGCTTGTCGGCGCCCAGGGCCACGGCGGCCGCCGCCGCGACGCCCGTGGGCGGGCAGGCCAGCGGCTCGCCGCCCGCGCTGAAGCCCAGCCCGGACAGCACCACGATGCTGCCGGCCGCCAGCTGCGCGGCCACCGAGGCGGCGGCCACGTGGCGCACCATGCCCGTGGCGCCGTGGTCCACCCCGCCCACCACGCCCCGGCGCTTGGCCGCCAGGTAGTTGCCGGAGACGACGCTGAGGCTGGGCGTGTGCACGGTGGGGGGCTCGCCGCGCTTGCCGCGCGTGTGGCGCCGGGCCAGGGCCACCGTGGGGGCCTGGGGAGGCGGTGGGCGGGCAAGAGGGTGGGGTGGATGGCGGGGTGCTTGAGGGGGAGGGCATGCGTGCAGATGCGAGTGTTGGGCACGGGGACGCCGCAAAGCGTGTCGCACGCAGCCTCTCTCATCGAAAGGTCAAGAAGCATGAGTTTCTCAGGGATGGACGACGGGTGGGGGGCAATCTGGGGCCCCGCCAATCAAGGATGCCAGGGCCGGGAGTGCACATCCCTCGAGCAAAACACCCGGGCTGCCAGCCACGACCTACCTTGGAGAGGAAGGCCTCCACCTGGAGGCGAGCCAGGCCCGCTGCCTGGATGAGCCGCTCCATGGCATCGGAGTCGGTGACGGGGTAGGGTGAGGATGTGTCGGAGACGGGAGGGGCGGGGGTGCCCAGCACGAGCACGAGCCGGACGCCCAGACCTGGAGTGCAGCGGATTGGGGGTTAGGCACGCACGGTGTGCATGTGGCGACGGGAAGGACGTGCTCGAGTGGGGTGGGTGCTCAGCAAAAGAGTCCGGCACGACGCTTGCAGACTTCTTGCTGGGGAACGAGAAAAATTTGAAAAGGACTTGAAGCTGGCAGGTGTGCCCCTGACGGGAAGCTGCCTTTGGGTGACACGGGACAGAATGCCTGCCCCTGCCCACAACGATCGCTTGAAGTCATGAGGACGCTGCGCCAAAGCCCATGCAGTCGCCATCACACAAGATCAACAGTTAAGAGACACGCGCTGGCCTCCCTGTGCCTCGACCCACCATGCAGGAGCGCAATGTCCTCCAGCAGGGCACTCAGTTGACTCCGATTGGAGACCACCTACATCGAGGGTGGGCAGGTGGGTACAGGCAGCTGTGCACAACTGCCCCATCGCGCCGGTAATGTGTCTGGTGCGAGGGTCTCAGAAGAAGGTCCGCCACCTCCTCATGCTGCATTCCAGAAGAAACACATCCGGCTCGCCCTTCCAGCACCAACACCAGGAGCAGTGGAGCGATGGCTCCACACAGTCACGCACCTCTCCAGGAATGCTGATCACGAAGGTTCGCCCCCTGTGGCCTTCAATGTAGGGCGAGGCCTGTCGAAAGAACTGGACGAATAGCCCGTACTGCGTTCGGTCCAGGGCACCATAGTCCCGCCCAGGCAATCCCCTGGCAGGGACCACGGCATGCTGTGGGCTTGGAGCCTCCGCAGACGTCGAGGCGGTGCCATTGGTGGTGCTGGACGGGGGCCCAGTTGGGCCTAGCCGGTGGGTGCAAGTCCTGACGCGGTAGGTCAGAGGAGATGTGCACCGCGCAGGAGTCAACGAAAGGGTGCTGCAGCCCCTCATGGCATGGCGACAGCTCTACTGAGATCCTAAACTACAGGCCATGGGGTTAGAGTGTGCTGAAGCTGGGACGTTGAGGAGGGAAAACCTCAGATCACCACCCCTTACATGGGGGGCGCGAAAATGAAACCCTAGGGGGGGCCCCGCAGCGCGCCCGCGGGCCAAGATTGCAGGGGTGGACCAGATGCAACGACTGGGTCGTGCGGTCGGGATCGGGGTAGGAATATTCCGAGGAGGCTTCATTGCAATGGTTAGGAGCGTGCACATAGACGCCGGGGTTGAGGCCTACGCACAGGGCTGCACCCGGCTCGGGTTCATCCTGCAGGTGCGAACATGCCTTGATGAGGGTGGTGCAAGGGGATGGGAGTTGCTCCACCGCTCACATGGGTGGTGCAGGAGTGGATGACAGCCCTGGCGCCCCACCACCCCTGCACCAACAGGTGGGCTTCATCCTGGGCCGGCCACAGCCTGGTGGCAAGGACCTGCTGCTGGCCCTCATCCCCACCCCAGACTGCGAGGCGGGCCCCGCAGCGAGGCTGGATGGCAAGACGCACATCACCCTCGACGCCGACTGGGTGGTGGAGCACGCCCTGCAGCTGTCGCGCATCCTGATCGGAGGTGGGGAGCGCGGTGAGGTGCTGCGGCGCACCGCCCTGCTCGCCAGTCTGATCCCGGCAGCCCCCACCGCCCCTGGCCCCGCAATACACGTGCAGGCATCCACGTGCTGGGTATGTTTGTGGTGGCCCCCGCGGCAGTGTTTGAGGCCAGCAGCACAATCGTGACGGGGGTGCTGCGGGATGTCCAGTCGGAGCTCAGAGGTGGGCGGGACTTGGTGGGGGGAAAGGAGGAGGTGCACGGAGAGCAGTGGAGAGGCTGGATGCTCCCGCAGATCCCCCACACCAGGGTATCGCCAGACGTTGGTCGCCCGCCCGACGCTGCCCGGGCCCTCTCCATGTTGCACGGGACTCGCTTAAGCGCTCCCCTGTCCCTACCCCCTTCCTCACAGGCTCCCATGCCTCGCTCGTGCTGCACGCCGACGCGACCAGCGGAGCGCTCACGGCCAGGGATGCGAGCGGGCCCGGCGCCCTGAAGCCCTGCGACCACCGCGTCTCCGCGCTGGCAGAGCAGATGGTGACGCTGCAGACCCGGTGGGCCGGCGTCGGGTGGTGTGCGGATGTGGGTGGTGCGCCTGCCAAGCTGGGTAGTCCCGTGACCCTGTGCTGGGGTGCAGCAGCTTGCATGCCCACCTTGCGCGCCATGTGCCTGTCGCCCTCCGACCACCTTGTGACCCCGCGGCACGCTCTCTGTTGCCTGCGCGCTGTCCACACCCCACAACCCCCCCGACACCCCCTGCAAGCACTCCTCCTGAACCCTACAGTAAGCCCCTCCATCCTCCTCTACAACACTACCTCCCCCCCCCTCACACCCAGGTACGCGCTGGACTGCCCCCTGCCCGGCCCCATGCCGCCGCCGTATAAGCCCGCCCGCCGTGCCGTGCTCGCCGACGTGGCGGCCCGGCTGGAGGGCGCGGTGCTGGCGACGTCGGAGGGGCGGCTGCTGCCCCCCGGCGCCGCCTCGCTGGCCGAGGCGGGCGCAGCGGCGGGACTGACCCCCGCCGGACCCTGGACCCTGGCCCTGCACGGGCCAGGTGGCGTGCGCGCGGGCGCGCCTGGAGTGGCCAGCCTACGAGGCGTGCTGGACGCACGCGCCTGTGTGGGCCGGAGGGAGGGCGTGGCGGCGGCGCGCGACGCGCTGGCGGCCGACGTGCGCGCGGGCGTGGCGGCGCGGCTGGCGCCCGAGGCGCGGGGGCGGGAGGGGGGCGAGGCCACGCTGGGCACGCTGCGCCGCGTGTTCCTGGCCCTGCCGGAGGGCCCGCTGGCGGTGGCCGAGGTGCTGCGCTTCGGGGAGGGGGAGGGCGTGGCCCTGGCCCGCCTCCAGGAGGTCCTGGGCGGCGCGGTGGTGGCCGAGGCCCTGGCCCTGGATGCGCCGCTGGAGGTGACGCGGTACGTGCCGGGCCAGGCGCTGCGCGAGTCCAGGAACGAGTACGCCATGAGGAACCTCATCATCGCCTCTGTCCTGCTCATGATCATCTTCGTGCTCTACATGACCTACTTCCATGGCCGCTGACGGCGTATGGGAGGGAGGACTCTTTAGGGCAGGAGCAGCATACCTTGAGAAGTACCCGCCACCACTTCCTCCGTTGTTAACCGGCCCGCGACGCCACCAAAGGCCGACGTGGGTGCATCACTGCGGCCAATCTGGAACACACAACCTTGGCTTTGCACGAGCCCCTCTGTACGACGAGGGCGTGGACCGCCCGTATATCGGTCCCACCACCTCGAGACAGTCACGTGGCGTCGTATCGGCATAACACGGTTCCCGACGTGTTGGCGTGGGCAGGGAAACCAATGTCCCTATGCGCAGACGAAGGTGTAACCCTAGCACAAGACATTTCAAGGAGCTGAACCCCAGGCAGTGCGCCGAATGCATGCGCCTGCCGCAGATTGCGCAGGGCGACCGGGAGTTCCGCTTCCGAGGTGCGGCGTGGGCGCCGAAGCTCCGAACCCGGGACCCCATGTCCGACGCATTGGCCGCTCGCCCAACCCGCTCGAACCCCGCAAACCTGCTCGCGAGCGAGGACTGAGCTCGACCAGCGAGCATGGTACAAATACCCGGCCTGAGCACAATTTCCAGCTCGCCATTCCAATCAAGTCCCCCACCCCCATCTGGAATCCCCAAGGTCCACAGCCCCTCCCTCGCCATGTCTCGGACCTGAATCCTCCCCAAGGAACCTGGAAAAGGTTCTATATCTACCCCAGCACCAGAGGACCCGACACGAACGCGCCTGGGAGGACTTGCTGGACTCTGCATGCAGCGCTGATGAGCGGCCATGGTACCGAGTCGTTTCTCGGGAAGAGGTAGGTTGGGCATTTGGGCCAGGAGCAAGCTTATGAGAATGCTTGATGGAGGTTTCGGAATTATACCCGCCATTCTTGGCCTGCACAATGACCGATATCGTTGCGCCACATCGCTGCTCGCAGGGATTCCAGCGGGCGTCGTTCGTCCGGAATCAGGAGGACCGCATCGAGATATCGCGGAGTGACCCACCATAGCCGTACCAACGTGAGGGCAGGGGGTGGAATGAGGAGTGCGTCAGCATGATATACAAGAACTTACGTGCCAAGCACGGAGGTTGTGGGTCGAGAGCCGCACAATTGTTCGGTCAAGTATGAGGGGTGGGGTCCTAAACATGTTAATTGCCCACCCCAACACCTGCGCGCAGAGATACGAGGCCCATGTTTGGAGCGAGGGTAAACAAGTTTACCTCGGAGGATATGGTTTGGAAGTGCAGGTAGGGCATCTCTCGGATGTTGTTTTCTCGGCATGGCACCCCTTGGGGACCCTCGGATTGCCAGCGTGCGCGAGTCTGGGATGACCACCCTCCCTCCCTCCCATATGCCCGCAGGCCGCCACGGCCTATGACCTTGCCGCATGTAAGTTTAGGGGCCAAGACGCCCAGACCAACTTTGATATCTTCCGATACAGCGCGGAGTTGGAGGATCATACCGCGAGTCAGGAGGAGGTCGTGCAGCACCTGCGAGCGCAGAGCAAGGCCATGAACTGCGTTGCCAAGGATACTAATCTCACCATGGAGGAGTGGGAGCTGGAGATATCAGGTACGGTCCTTATCACCAAGTTTCCGACCTGCGGCCCGGCGGCGAGTAGGGTTCATTGGTCGCCAGGCCGGCGTCCCGTTGTCCTCCCCCCGAGGTCCCATGCGTGCATGGCACTCTTGCGAGCATGCAGCGTGTCCACTTCATTGCATTGCATCGACGTATGACGCTTCACAGTACGTTCCCATCCTTCCCCCTGCAGCCACGGTGCACCCCGACAAGGAGCACCTGGGGGTGTTTGCAGACGAGCGGGCTGCGGCGCGGGCGGTGGATCGGTCCTGCATCCAGAGGCTGGGACTGGGTGCCACCACCTCCTTCCCCCTGGTCGACTACCTAGATATGCTGGGTGAGAACAATGGCGTAGGGTCTGACCCTTGAGAGTGGGTGGGAGAGCTTGACCGTGAGGGTGGTTGTCGTCATGAAGCAGTGTCGATCAATTGGCGCCATTGTTCCTCCGAAACCTCACCTCTACTGGGGCAAAGCGCCCGCTCTGAAATCCTTCACCACACCATCTCTACCTCCCACAGATGGCGAGCACATCCAAGCAGCGGTGAAGCGAGGCCTGCTCCCCCCGGTCCTCCCCACCAGCTACACCCCTCCCCCGGTGCCGACCCCCCTGCTCCAGCTGCAGCGGGCTGCCCGCGGGCCCAGCCCCACGCTGAAGAGGCTGAACACCCCCCGAGCAGGGGAGTACGACGTCAGCCCCATCAGCCAGCCTTCCGGGGCCCAGCAAGCCCCAGCAGGCTCCATGCAGTCCCCCAGACCCCAGGCCACGCCGGGGGAGGGGGAGGCCGACGCCCACCAAGGTGCTGAGCTGGGTGTCCAGGTGGTCCCTCGCCGGACCTCTGTGACACCCCGCAGCGTCTTTGACTTCATGGAGTTCCAGACCATGCTGACCGGTGAGCACAGGGTTACCCCGGTCCGCACGCAGGCGACACTGGGTTTTGGGATTTGTGCTGACGGACAATCACGCCCATAGTGCCAAGACTGGGTCCCAGTCAGCCCTCCATCGCACACATCCCTACCACCCTCACACCGCGCACCCTTGTACACCGCCCTGACCTGGCCCACACTCGAAATCTTCATCCAAGCCTCCTCCTTTAATCCTGCCACTCCAGGTCCCTCCTGCGCTGGCAAGCGTCTGCAGGAGGAGGCAGACGGCTCGTGCAAGAGAGCACGAACGGATGACCCGGATGCATGGATGCAGGAGGACGCACTGGCCATGCTGGATCTCCAATGAGGACCCAAGGTGGTCACCGTCCGCCCCACGTCGGAACGCTGCTGTCATTGACAGCAACTTTCGGCGCTCTCCTGCTCAATACATGCCCTCCGATCCCTGTGCCACATCCCACTGCCGGCCATCCCACGCGATCCCCTCCAATGTGCAGCATGCCCATCCCCTCACTGTGGAGTCCATTCCTGCATCTGTGTCCTCAAACCCTTGCCCTCCCGAGCCTTTTCCCGAGTCGGCTCGCTGCGTGCCTTCCTTCCGCTGAGTTTGCAGGTTCCCCTTTTACGCCTCCACTCCTCTTACAAAGGCCGCTCGCACACCACGTTTTCGATCCCTGCTCGGATTTGAAATCAATACACCGTTGGACCTAATTTCTCAAATAAGAATAAGATTTGGTTTCAGGAGGTGCCAGATAATGTGATCGAGGTTGAGGCGCCAGGGGAGTACACGCCGGGGTAGCAGACCCGCAATTCCGCCGCTCGTGAGGGAATACCCAGTAACTCTGTTCGTCATGTGATCCTGATGCAGTCCCGATCTGTGTCATGCGAGGAGGGAGCACGTACTCTGGCACCCTCCGCTCGACCTGCCTCGGTCCGGACGGATGCCTCGTTTCCGGCACCCGCGATCGTGAACGCCGCCGAGGCGGAACCAGGCCAGGTGCTCACGAAGCATCCACGGCCGGCATGTTGCCCCCACCCACATCAAAACCCACTGAGAGCTAAGCAGGTACCATTACATGGCATAATTGCCCCGGCGAACCCCACTTCGTCCCGCCCAAGCCGCTCCTTCGCGAACTGGATCTGCAAGCATGGCGTACTCACCCAGGCACTATTGCCAACCGCTCAGCACCCCCGTCACCCGGAAGCGCAGCCGCGAGAGCTCCGGGGAGGACGAGGCCATGCCCAGTAGACGCAGCAGTCTGCATGAGCTCATGGGTATGTCCCGATCGGCCCCCGGGACGCCCATGGAGGCCGTGCCGGAGTACAAGGGGGTCACCCTCCACGTGCGCACTAAACGCCATGAGGTGGGCTTGGGGGTAGTGATGGTATTCAGGGATGGTGGTGGTGCATCCTGCTTCAGTGGTTTTCTGGGCATTCTGTGCATACATTTGGGAGGATGAAACCTTCTTGGGTACCCACTGGAATCCAGTGCTCGGGTTGTTGGCCCTGGGGTACCATCATGGGACTGCAGCAGCCGTCCCCGGGTTACACACCTGGAAGTACCCAGTTTCTTCCCAACCCACCTCCACCCTGGCCACTCCGAGCTGATCCCGAACCTTTCTTATCACCCCCCCGCATATCCTCGCAGGCCCACATCTGGGAGGGTCAGCCCGGGCGGCAGTTCTACCTGGGCGGGTTCGGCAGCGCTGCCGAGGCGGCGCTGGCCTACGACATTGTGGCCCTGCGCCTGGGCCGGCGCGAGACCAACTACCACCTGTCCTACTACGAGCCCTGGCTGGACCTGCTGGAGGCCCAGCCCCTGGAGGATCTGGTGTCCGGGCTGCGGCGCCAGAGCAAGGGCGCCAGCCAGCAGACCTCCTTCTTCCGCGGCGTGACGCGGCACGCCAAGGGGCGCTGGGAGTCGCGCATTGGCCAGGCCGCGGGGCGGCGCTACCTCTACCTGGGCCTGCACGACACGGAGGTGCAGGCGGCGCGCGCCTACGACCGCGCCGCCATCGCGCAGAAGGGCATCGACGCCCAGACCAACTTTGCGCTCTGCGAGTACCTGGAGGAGCTGGGGCCGGAGGCCGCCGCGCGTGCCGCCGCCAGGGGCCTCCTGGGGGGTGGCACGGCGGGGGGGGCCGAAACGCCCGCCGCCACACCCACGCAGCCGCCGCAGCCGCCGCGCGCCGGGCTGGCACCGGCAGCGGCCAGCGCCGGCGCGCGTGCGCTGGCCTACCACATACTGGGCGCGGAGGTGCGGGACGAGGAGCTGTCGCCACAGACGGTGCTGGACCCGCTGTCGCCCCAGATGCTGTCGCGGCACCTGCGCCAGCAACGCGAGCGAACAGCACGCAAGCTGCAGCAGGGAGAGGAAGAAAGGGAGGAGGAGGAGGGGGAGGAGGCGCCGCGCGGCGGCGTCTTCTGGGACATCATCACCCACGACATGTTCTGAGGGCCCTCGGGTCCCTGTCGGGTTCACAGCTGCCCTGCCGGTACGTGACCGTGCTTGAGCCAGACCCCGACTCGACGCTCCACCGGACCCCTCTCAAGGCACCGCACACCTCGTTCCCCTGTGCTGTGCCCAGTCCCCCTTTCCATGTTGACGCGTGCTCCTTGTCTGCATGCTCCTGCCTTCCTCCCCTGCCCCTGCACCGCCCCGTGTGCGCGCGTCGCCTTGCGGCACAGCGCACCACCGAATCCCTCGCTTGCCCTCCCCTGTACACCCCCTCCTTGCGACCCCCTGATGATAACTGCTCCCTGCGATCCAGCACCCTGCCTTGAAAGAACATGCACAGAGATCGGGCACGTGCGGGGTCACAGAGGAGGGAGGCAGGCAACGAGAGGTGCCCCTGCCCGTGCCCAGGCAGGGGGATGGCAACTTCGCGTGAGGCGCCGCGTGCACCCCCGCACCGGACAGCCCCGTCGCCGGCTAGGCGCGCGGCCCGCCATGCGCCGCCGCGTCGTCGATCTTCCGCCGCACGGCGGCCAGGAGGGCGCCCAGCGCCGCCTCGGCATGGGGCGAGCCCGGCCCGCGCCGGCGCGCGCGGTGCACGGCGGCCTCCACGCCTCGCAGGACGGGCTCCACGTGGGCAGCGATGCGCGCGTCCCACACGCACAGGCCGTCCACCGCGGCGCCGGCCCAGCCGGCGGGCGCGGTGGGGTCGCCGCGGTCCAGCAGGCTGGACAGCTGCTGCGCGAGGCTGAGCAGCGCGGGCTGGCCCAGGCGCGGCGGCCGCGTCGCGAGCGCCGCCGCCGCCGCCTCCTGCGCGCACAGCCAGCCGACCAGGCCCGCGTCGGCCGCGGACAGGGCCTCGTCGAAGGCCTCCTCCGGCAGCCGGGCCTCCAGCAGGCCCAGCAGGCGGCGGCGGGCCGGGTCCAGCGGCGCGGGCGGGGCCGGGCCGAAATTGGACGCCGGGGACGGAGCGGCGCGCGCCAGGCCCCCCGCCGCGCGCGTCAGCTCGGCCGCCGCGCCGCGCAGCTCGGCTAGGGTCTCGGCGGCGGCGGCGGCCTGCGCGTCCAGCCCGCGCGCCATGGCCGCGGTCAGCTGGCTCAGCATGGACCCGCAGGCCGCCTCGAACCCGGGCACCAGCTGGGTGGAGAAGGCGGAGGTGAAGGCCCCCGCCAGGGCCGGCGCCAGCGAGGCCGACACCGCCGACGCGACCTGGGGCGCCAGCAAGGCGGCCGAGGACGCCAGCGCCTGCACGGGTGTGGTTGGCGCGATTCCGCATGACGTTTCCTGGTGGAAAGGCTTGGAGCCTGCGGCAGAGGCTGTGGATGGCCTGGCCTCTCTGGCCCCCGAAAGACGTCAGGCTCCCGCACACTTTGATCATTGGGGCCCAGAAGCCTGTCGGCTGCACGGAGCAGATGCACGCCACCACATGACCTCCCCCGCACCTCTGGGAGGGCCGTGGCAACCGCGGCCTGGACGGCCAGGGTCGTGGACGCGGAGACGCTGCGCATGTGCTCCCGAAACTCGGCCTGTGAGTGGGAGTCGGTTTGGGGGGGGGGGGGGGAGCAGGTGTGTGTGTGTGTGTTGTGAGCAGGGGTGGTGGGGTGGTGGCCTGGAGAGGCGGGTGGCAAGGGCATCACAGGGATGACTCATGCAAGCGCGCTGCGATGGCCCTCGCCGTCCCCAGACAGTCCTCTCCCTGCGGCCCATGCATACCCTGCTCCACACCATGCCCCCTCCATCTCCCAAGACCCTTCTCCCCATCTCCCTCCACCCTGCCAGAGCCGCACCTGCTGGGCCCGCACCACCTCCTGCACGATGCGGGAGGTGGAGGCCAGCGCCGCTGCCTCGGCCTGCGCCCGGTGCTCCTCCAGCGCCGCCGCCCGCTCCGCCGCGACCTGGGGTGGAGTGAGGGGTGGGTCGGGGGCTGAACAGGCTGGTGAGCAACAGCCCCTGCGCTTCCACGCAAGCATTCCCAGCCCCTCCTCACACCATGTGTTCCCTCTCCGGCTTCCCTTCCCTGCCTGAGCCCCCCATTCCCCCTCCAGCCTCGTACCATGTCACGCAGCTCCCGCAGGGTCAGGCGCAGCGTGGCCTGGTGGTCATCGTGCTGCGTGGCCGCGGCCGCCGCCATCTCGGCGCGCAGGCTCTTGACCAGCTCGCGGAACATGAGGGTGACGTGCCCCACAAACTTGCGGTGCGAGCCGTCCAGCGCGGAGGCCACGGCGGCCGCCACCGCGCCGTCCAGGCTCTCCGCCGCCGTGGCGGAGG